GGTGTTCACGTCACTCTCTGACTGGATGGGTCTCCAAATCTTCAGATAATCCGCGTACAACAGACATTCCGATTCCAGGCAGTCTGGCAGGTCGTTGATGAAAAGCAGAAATAGTATTGGCCCCAGTACTGATCCTTGCGGAACGCCACTAGAGACCGTTAACCATGGTGATCGTGCCCTTGACGCTTTCACCGAGAATAGTCTGTCCCTCAGAAAGTCATCTATCCATGAGAGCAGCGGGCCCTGGATCAGCAGACGTGGTGTAACAGTTAGAGGCCCAGTCAATATGTGGTGCATTGAAGTCCCCGAGCACGATACAGTGACCATTCGCAGCCCTGTGCCTCAAGGATTCCAACAGTATTGGTGATTCCGATGCGGGAGTCTTATACACGACTCCTACCACAGTATAGCCGTTGCGGGAAAGCTTAATGTTGCACCACAAACATTCGAAGAGTCCCTGCTGGTCGACCTGCGCCTCCAGAAGATATGATGGCAGCTCCTCACGAATGTATACCATAACTCCACCTCCCCTCCGTATAGGGTTCCTAACCGCCCGAAACAGGACATAACCTGGTATGGACACTTCAGAGTCGGCAATGTCGCCCACCAGCCAGGTTTCTGTGAGAGCGACAATTGCCGGCTTGCGCGATTGAACAAAGGTTTCGATTTCATCTCTCGGGAAACCAAACAGTATCGTGCTCACGAGCATGGAGCTTTTTTCCTTTAATAAACATCACTGTACCGCGATGTGTTTGGCATATCGAATAAACTCACGTAAGTGAAAATATAAGCAGATACTTTGCTTCGTAAATGTTACTTTCCTCTCATCAGTGTCGCTCCGTTGTGTATCTATGTCGAAAATGACAACGACTAAAAAATTGCCAATAGTTCTTCATGAGTAGTCATAACTCTTGGAAGAGAGTAATTCAGACATTTGTAAAAAACGTTGGCTTAACATACAATTGAAGTGCTGAAACAATGCACTTTATTCTGAGAATATATTGTATGTGTAATCCTTGTCGTCGTTCATAGCATACCTCAATGAAAGAGCAAACATGTCGTTTGATATCAATTCACACAACTGAATATGTAATCTTTGGCACTAAGATATTGTTCAGAACATACCCAAGTTCTCCTCTGGTTAGCAACACAGATGAGTACTTTTGCATCAGCTAGAACTTTTCAGCCACGTCATTACTCTAAATGTAAACAACCACCACGGACTTTTCCCATACAAGATCAAAAGGGGGGTTAAACTAGCATAAGTATAGCAAGAATTTATCAGTATGATTAAAAGTAAAAATTAAAAAATATAAAAGAATACCGGGATGAAATCTTCGAAAAATGAATTTCCGGTTTTAATTGTAGTAGAATGAATGGAACGACATGATCAAGAGAAGAATTAAAAAAATAAGAACAATTTATTGTAAAATGCAAACATATAAGAAATTAAATTTTTAATGTAATAATGAAGTCATTTAATCGGATCTCCAAACAACAAATATTTGACAATCCCGTTATGGTCCAATCGTATCATAAATCACTACAAGTTTTAACGTTGACACAGAAAGGCAGTGTGTGACTGGCATGAGCAGTTATTCGCTGGGAGAGCCCGTCAAACGTAGCTCAGTCGCTTGATTGCGTAACTCATATATGATTAGGTTAAGTCTCATATTTACACGCATAGCAATCGTTCCTCAAGCAGAAATAATAAGCCTGAAGTCATTTGCTTTGCTGTGTATAACCAACTCAAGACAGGCTGTTATACATTCAAAGGGTAAGTTCTGAAAAGTTTACAAGTGTAAACAGATAATAAGTACATATTCAATAGATGCAGAGACAACAAAGTACGGTGGAAACATTCTAACGCATTCGTCTTTCCTTAACGTAAATTATTATTGTCCTAAGAGACAAACAATCAAGGGACGCAATGACAGCGCTTTTGTTTATATCGGTTGTAGGTTTTAACGTGTCCGGGGATTCCGAACGACATTCGTGATTTTGCGTTATAGACAGCACTCTTCATTAAAAGTGGTCCCATGGACAAACCAGTCATGTGCATGGAAATGTTTGGAAACCAAAGACCCAACCAAAACATGCATATATATGTCACTGTAGACTGAATATTGGTGTAACATATAAAGGAATTGAAGAACCAAGCGAAGCCTTGGAATTTTCTACGTTCAAAGTTAATACTTTCAGTAATTCGTTCTCGAGGGTTTACTCTCGACCTCTGTCGCTACACGAACCCTACAAATAATGGTTTTCTTATGATAAACAGTCATCGCGACCGGCGGAAATATAAGAATTTATACTCATTAGACTTTTTTAATTATTTCACTTGTTCTCCACTACACAATAAATATAAACTTTGATGCTTGTGAAAATTAAAACCATTTGCTTAGATAAATTTTCATTTAAATATGGTATGGTTTGCACGAACCAATCAACCTGTTCAAGAGTTTTGAGGAGTAAAACGATCAAGTTCGTAGCCAAGTCAGTGTCCTTTTGCGGGCGGCATTTCACTAATACTTTTAATTTAAGCCGTCTCTCCATGTTGAAATAATTCTATTCAATCTCACCGGTTTGGCAATAATATTCTACGTGGTCGGAAAAAAACACCAAACCTCTGTTGTTCAACATGTACGCAGCAACAAATAGCATGGTTGCCCATTCTCAAATCACCCCTCGAGAAACCGAAAACACAGCTTGCTCATTTTTCGGTCTCAAGCATCTGAGTTACGAGTGTCAAATAACCGAATCTCGGTTATCTCAAAGTGAATTTACATTCCTTTCCTGACAATAATCCTCATCACTGTGGAAGCGTGAATGTCCACGTAGTTTTATTTGCCCTCATTGGAAGAGAGATTGTACAGGCCCAAGTTGTACATCAATGTATCATTTTATACAGATATCATTTGCAACTACCTTTTTGTTCTCTCGGAACTAATAGCTGCACGCGAAGCGAACAGCTAAAGTAGCAATCACAATCTTTCACATTGGTTGGTTCTGTGCTTGGATCATTGCAGACAGTGAGGACCGTTGCAGCCAAAAGGCGGCAATGGCGTCGTGGTCATTTCTATTCAGTCTTAAATGCCCGAAAATAGGTGTCTGCGTAAATACGTTTTATACTCTGGGTTGACTACAGCGAACCATTCTCTTTCTCTTTTTCTCTTCCAGAAGACACATCCACCGTAAAAAACTGTTTCTTGACTTCGTGTGCACCAAGAGCTTGTTGGTGAATAATCGTCTTCTTCACCGAAGGTTACTACCGAATGACTTACCCTGAGCATCAGCCTTACACGGCTAACATATCTTTGGATGATCCAGAAATGTACAACCAGATAGGTGTAAGTCATTCATGTTGATTGCTACGAACGTTTCCGGAGGACAATCAAACCGTCGTTCAAAGTGATTATTCTACCCTTTGATAAAAACGATAGCACCCAGACCACGGAATCCTGCTTTGAAATATCATTAATTTATTTTGAAGTTAGACGAGTATGTTCAAAATTGTTTGACATCAAGATCCCACTAATTTTCACCATTGAGATTTCATTCTCAGACATTAAATCCACGGTTTTACACATTAAAGCCGACTATAGTTCTCCCTTGAGACTAACTCACACTGATAAAGCTAACCATCGTGACTGTCGGACTGGGTTTTGCTTTTTCCTACCAACACAAAAGCAAAGCAGTCGTTGCTGTCGAACAGCTTTCGGTGTCCGTTTGTTATGACTCATCTATGACTCATCCTTGGGGAAAAGTACCATCACGTGTCGAGTGATATCCCTCATAAAACCAATGTGAATAAAAAGCACCTTGTCCACCAATTAGGGCGATATCCATTTGAAATTTTCACCCACTTGTTGTATTGATTGCAATCGAATGGTCTTCTGAAGTGAACCAAAGTAGGTCTCATGGACAGCCAATTGCAGCATAATGCTGCATGCACTATATCAGTATGTTTACAGTCTGAGTAAGTAATGCGCAATGTATTGTTTTACTCTTGCACTGTTTGGCCGCCCTCCATAGTCACTCACCTTTATCAAATAAGGCTTCGACCCAGTCAAGCGCCACACTTTGATTTGTCCATTGGCATCACCGGACGCGCACAAGTACTTATGCATGACAACTGCGGTGACCGGTCGCAAATGCTGCATACGCCACAACGGTTCTCGCGAGTCCAATCTCCACACTGAATGTATAATATAATATAATAATATCACAATAACAATTTATATTTATAAAGAAATCAAATATTCAAAAGAGAAAAATAAAAGCTCACGAAATTAAAGATAGATAGGAAATACTGCTTTTGTGGTACAGGGTAATCTGCACCGGAATTGCTCTTGGTTAATGAGGTAGTCCGAACTATTATTATCATAGTATTTAGAAATAAAAATGACTTTAGTAGAGCAAAAATCAATGAATAATATTGACTAGTACAATGATTTGCAGCGCAGCCCTAGTGTTTTCTTTGATAAGAATTGCATCAAAATGCTTCTTAGTAGTAACACAATAATGTCACGTGATAAATGCGGAATGCTTTTAAGCTGTTCGTTAGAACCATGACTACTGAACTACGTTCAATATAAGAAAGGACTTATTTCAAATTTGTTTGAATAAGATATATTTATCTTCTCAATCAACTTCGGAAAGCAAAAGAATTGGTTCTCAAACAAAAATTCTATTATCCGATTTTTTATACAACGGGTTTTCTGCTTTCAATCTTCTCTGCGATTCGATGAAATCGATTCACTTCAACAATGGTCACGTGATGTGAAGTATCCTGCAGGGAGACCCAAATTTATGAAACCGACAGGATTGCTCAACTGTTTTCCGTTTTCCGTCTCGCAATCTATTCGGCTCTCTCGGAAAATGAGGAAAAGATTCTCACAGCATTTCCATGTTGTTTCTTTGTTTGTTCAACACTGATTTAGAGTTTCGCTTAAACTCTTGATTAATTGCATCTTTCACCATACCTTCTACTTCAATCATAAAAAGGATACGAAAACGTTTTAAATGATCTCGGGATTCTAGAGTACAACCAAGGTTTTCTTGGCTGATTTTTTTCTCATTGAGTAGTCCTAGATTGTTGTAACTTTTTGGCGGAATATGACGAATGAAAATCGCTGTTTATATTGATAAAGATTGAAAATCGATGTTGAGTAGTTACGTTTCAGTGATAAGCACTCAAAACTCGTGTCCCCTGATGCTACTACTAGGACAAGTTCAACTTCATAGTTCTATATTTCTCTCGCTTTTCGGTTAACCGGATATAGTCTTAAAGATGGACTTTGCGGCCACAATATTCTTTTCCGGTGCTCCAATAGCAAATTTTTGTTGATATCTATACCTCAATCTATATGAGCCGCTCGAATCCCTACTGCATTTTGATTGTATCATTTAATTTTGAACAGTGGTTAAACGTTTTCAACGAAACAATATCATACATGAAAAACATTATTGTTGTATAAATAAACATATTATATTTCATTTGAAATTTATACGAAATCCCCCAACCCCGTTTTGTCTTCTAAAACACGGTCAAAACAAAGATACTTATTTAGGATTAAATGAATTCTTCACTTTTAGCATTCTTGTGTTTGAAGTTTTCCTATCTGTGTTGCGTAACACAGGCGTGTTTTACATGCATCACAATGTGTGTAACATATTTGTAGCTGTTCCATAGATTTGAAATAGCCGTCACAATCAAATTTTTGTTGGCCATAAATCGTCCTCTTGAATGACAGTGAACAGTCATACGCCGCACTGCGAACAGACAGCATGCCATCAAACTTGAAACTTGGAAAAGTGCCGTTTTTTATCCGTATTTTTCCCTTAATTGGATTTTCAAAAACAGTTTTAAAATATGAACAAACTGCACGCATCAATGTCACGGATCGAATCACGTGAAATTTCAGGCCACCGATCCATTTGTACAAAACAGATTCTATCGTCAGGTATACCTAATTATTGCTTTTTGCATTTATCTTCGCTGACCAACAGCAACATTGTTTTTATATCCCTATCTGTTTCTCCCCTCTCTCGTTCATCAGTACAATCGACCGGATGTACTGAATGATGGGGTTTTGGTGTACTTTATACACTCACCAAAGCATAAACAATCCGCTCCACCTGTGACAAAACGCAATGTGTGTTTGCCCAATCGGCTAGTCGGTGACTGACTGGATCGAAGCTTCGGTTTGGAACGACCGACCGATTCGCATGATGTTCTCATTCGCGGCCACGTGAAATCATCCAACCACAGGCTCAGAACCGTGCTTGTGTGGCCGTGATAAATTCGTACACAACGTGACCTGATCGAACGTGCATTTATCCTCCTGGGGTCCGGATGTGAAAGCACGCTGACCGGGTTGTTCCTCCCGTCCCGGATGTGATCCGAGGGCTCGGATAGATCCCATAATCGTATGCTGGTATCATAGCTTCCGGACAGCAGTAGACGCCATTTAGTATCCAGCCACAGGGTGCGCACACTACCTGCGTGACCGATCAAACTGATCTGATTCAAATGAGCGCTGACAGTGGACGAATAATAGAAGGCAATATAATCACCCCGGATGACATGACTGTTCTGTGTTCATTGATGAGCGGTTCATGATGAATTGCTATCTATTGTTAATAATGGAAATGTTCTGTCCCCTTAGAGCTAAGTACAATAATAACATTCTTGTTGGTCTGACAAATTTCCTGAAGACTCTATGGTGAATACAAAACCGATTGAACGGTTGCTTTTATGATGGATTTACAGGAAAGCGATCCCACACCAAAGTACCACAAAGGTTAAAAATTGTAATCTCTGTACATTTGATATTGAGATACATCAAATAGTTTATCAATCTGTTTATCAATTTAGATTATATCAATATAAAGTTTACGTTTATCAGTGCAAATGGAGATATAGATCACATTTATGGTTTCTCAAATGCGGCTTGTGTAGTACGTGAAGAGTGTCCAAAAGTAACTGGTAAACAGCGATATGGTATATTTCATTCGCAAACCTCACCACGCCATCCGATCTTTGTTGAATAACCTTTATCGCCTTTATCGGTCAGGTCATGCCCATTAAATCTGACTCTGCCGTATCACGTACACAAACTTTCATGGTCTGCTCACTTTCACAATGTTTGCTTAAAAGTCCGAGGCCGTCCAATTTAGAAAACTCAACCATCTCCATAAACCTTTATGTTGAACAATTGTGGTTGCTGGCATTCATCTGCAATGATCACACTGCTCTGCCGCATTTTCACTTGAATCAAAAGACCTCATTTTATCAGGTTTTTTACACTTTTCATTCATTTCTGTGACATGGGTCGAACTGTGTCGTGTTGTGTTATGTACAAGTTCCTCGTCAATGAGGGGAGTAATGAAAATGTGTGAATGGGTGAATGGGTGAGTCGTGTGTTTGAACTTACCAAATACAGAAAAGGGTCATTCTCTTGGTGAATGTTCTACTGCCACACTAATATTATTGCTAACTATGCCAAAGGAGCAGGGTTTTATATTCTACTTTTCAATATGTTTCTGTCACACCAATAGCGAACAAGCACACATATAAATATAAGTAATTTTTGTGACATTTCTTCGTAGTACGGTACAAACGTGAGGGTGACTACCATATCGGCTTCACATGGAATCAGGAAATATAAACAGGCCTGAATAAATGACAAATAAAATGATGGTTTATGTTTTACACAGCAAACAAAGTGAAAACCACGATCACCACAAAATCATGGGACCAAGTTTGTCAAAATCCCTTCGATAACACCATTCCATCAAGTGCGTGATCCATTGCAACAGTGTTTAACTAACTTTATGCGCGTAAAAGCAGTTCTTAAAAACCAGGCTCGACTCGGAAACCGTAAATCACAATTGTGTGATCCCATCCAACTCGTTGCCTTCCTTTCCTCCTGTCTTCAGTCGTACCCCTATTTCTATTTTCTTAACCAGAGAATAACAATCTTCTTCGGTCTTTACTTTATTTCCGTTTTCTTTATACACTATAGTATGCACACCTACACATAATTACATTTAGCAAAGAAAGAAGTTGTGAAAACCGAATTTTTACACTATTCCTGTCATTCTCGCGGTGTCAATGTTTGTCTATGATACAAATCCCTTAATTTGTACTCACACATGAAAATACTGATGGTTGATTTGTAAAATATGAACCTTTATTGCATTTTGTCCACGTTTGCTCACTGGCTTTGCGGTCCCTGTCAGTTATTTTTTTTCCTAAGTAACTATAACTATAGTGTGTTGCTCTCTGTGCCCCACCCCACACACAAAGTCTACATGATTTGACACCCAGTTCCGTTTAAACGTGAAACAGCCGACTAATTAGTGGTGTTGCTATGGTGTTATCGCATTATATTGATCAATCGATATATGTGATACTAATCTAGCAACACGTGAGCGCATACATGGATTTATCATTCCGGATCCGTTCAGTGAATGACAGTTTTCAAATTAAGCAAACAATTATGGAATTATGGAATAACTTGCGTGACAAACGTTCAGAAAGATAAATTCAAACGAAATTCCGCCAAATTGTTGTGTGGAATATTACACTGTTAACTGTGAATTCAAGTGAGTGAACTGAATACAAGCTGTTATTCATGTGATAACAACTCGAAATTAAACCGATAATAAACTTTGGTTTACATACACACACCCACGAAAGACAAACCATTAGTACCTATACATTGATAGCAATATGAAAATATTGCATCCAGTTAACCTCGGTAAACTGGTTAGTCCAATAAGTTTACCAATATATTAACTCACCGACATTACCTAGCAAATCCGTTTCTCTTTTGCCATCCGTTTCGTCTTGTGTTTGAACTGTCGGGTAATGTACCGACAATCTAAGATCCTAGCTAAATTTATTTATGAATTATTATTACAAAACGGAAGTTATCCATGGGTCAAAACACATCCCCTAACTAGAGTAGATTATGTGAAGTAATGCTGCTCTCATTCATCTACATGTTCTACCTATCAATTATTAGACTCTTGCACTAACCTCTACAGAAATTTCCCACTTCGCTATCTCACTAAAATCCTTGAAAACCGACAGCGTATGTCTTCTGAATTTCTCAGCAACCTTGGACGTTGAATTTTTTACTGGTATTACTTACTTCTTTGGATGAGATGTGTAATTTTTGGCTGAAATATGGACATATATCCGCAAAAGCCTACACAAACACAAAAACAAAAATCAGTCCGTTCTGGGAATATTGCAAAATATTCCCGTAATTTGTCACTTCCATATGTATGTTACTCACATAAAATCAGTAGTTGAACTGTTTCCCGAACTATGTAAATTGTACGAAATATCCAAGAATTTGATTCTTCTTTGCTCGGATGAACCATCGCAATACGAAAGCCAATTCTGATTGGCATCGTTTGTGTGAGCCACGCGTCGTTTGGCCGGCTTTTGGTATTGCGACCTGCATGTCAGTCAACGAAGAATTTACAATTTATAGCATTAAAACGAATAACAGGTGAGTGTTTTGATGAAGCACCTGAGTGAAAAGCAATATGCGGAAATTAAAAATAAACGGATTTTANCGGATTTTAAACAAAGAGGTACATGTTCTATCTTGCATCGAATACTCGTTCTCTAGATTAGAATCAAAACATTGAATATCAAGTTATTATTTATGGGTTAGCATTAATTTATTCGAATTTCCGAAAATATCCATTTTTCACTTCTTTAGGCAGGAATCCGGAATGAAATTCAACAAAGAAATCCGTTTCCACCTATAGCAAATGTAAGATATTTTACATATGCAATATAATTGATATCGTGTTGTTTCAGTTTGAGTGTGAGTGTGAGTCGGATCTGTACCCCACTACATCCTTTGGTGTACATAGTCTCGTGTTTCTTTTGTTTCGCGATGTGTTCCGTGTCAGTCATCGATCCCGGTTTGCTTCCGGGCTCAGTCCACATTCTACAACCACGTACATCCGTTTGGGAGTATATCTTAGTGCAGGAGGCAGAACAAGTACGAAACACAGCCCACAGCAATGCAAATATTAGATAAGGCTAAACCAAGTCTACACTGCTGCAGAGGCATTATGGGAATGAAATAACATCCGGTTAATGCCGTGAGATCGGAAATCAAAACGTGTATCTTGAACCAGAATTCTATCCAAACTTTTGACATAAGGAAATTGGATCTATTAAAATAGTGAATAGTTTTTCATCATAAAGCCAGCATTCTACCCCTTTGTTGCTGAGTGATTCTGACAGAGGAGGCACGGACGATATGCATTATGTTTCGTAATCGGTTAACGTGTAATTTTTTCATCAATGATTGGAGATGATTTCTGTTCCCCTTTTCACTGGATGGGATATGAAGTCTGAATGGTAATAGTGCCTCGTCGCGTAGAAGACAAGTTCCACGTAGCAAATGACCGCAATACTTGGCATAATAATCTAGTACTGAGTCTCATCACAGAGAACAAAACTGCTCCGGTGATGACTTTCAAGAAGGGAAGAACCGTGAATCAATCAGATGTTCATTTATCATGTGACGGCAGTCAAGAGCACCCTTCTCCCTTCATAAAGAGACTCCGTCCACAGAACTTCCGGTTTGGATCTGAGGTCCTTATCACATAAAGAGAATCACATGGTAACAATGCGGAGATTGAACAAATTGATGAGGAGTAAAGTTCACATCGAACATACAACAATACCACAGACAATGTCCAATGTTTATTTAATCTAATGTACTAACCCAAATATAATGCTTCCAATCACATGTACATCTGCATAAATGAATTAAATGACGGTTATCAAAACCGGAAAAGCTGAATAAATTACCGATCTCCCTGTTTGGCAGTAAAATATTATAAAAGTCCTCAATAGTTGAAAATGAAACTACCCTAGAACTTGCCTTTCTACTAACACCATGGTATTATATGTTCCGCAGTAGACGTTCCTCTCCTCCAGAAGAACTCTTTCCAGTGGTATCCCAGTATATGCCTGCCGCATTGATTCCGCAATGGCATTCCAACTGTGCGCCACCATGTCATCATAGGTCACGGATCTGTCGCCTGGATTAGCTATTACGAACTTGTTGTCTGTGGGAATCTGCAAAATTCTAACCAGTTACACACGAGGATACCTCGTTTGGAAGGGCGATAATTATGACTAACTCAAACAACCAACATGGAAGATGTAGAAGCGAAGAATTGAAAAATCTAGGTTTCGGGGTTTATCGTTGTTTGAACGTACAGAATTCTGTTCGGAAAATACTAAACATTTTTGATTGATTTGGAATAATTATTTTTCTCACTTAGTTGCTGTACACTATTCTCATTTCATCCAATCACTTATACATTAGACAATCATTAAAATCCCTAGTCACTGATCATGCACCATTGAAATTTTTTAAATGGAAAAATTAGTACTAACGTTTGCTATTTTAATTTACTTCTACTTTGCTACAGCCTGGGTGACCGGGTAGTACCACGTCCATTAATCTAAGCATG